CCTGGACACCCTCAAGCAGAAGAACTTCGAGGTTCTGTTCCTGGTTGACCCCATTGATGAGTACGCCTTCACCCAGCTGAAGGAGTACGACGGCAAGAAGCTCGTCGACATCACCAAGGACTTCGAGCTTGAGGAGACCGATGAGGAGAAGACCGAGCGCGAGACTGAGGAGAAGGAGTTCGAGGACCTTGCCAAGGCCCTCAAGAACGTCCTCGGCGACAAGGTCGAGAAGGTTGTTGTCTCCTCCAAGCTGGTTGGCTCCCCCTGCGCCATCCGTACCGGCCAGTTCGGTTGGTCCGCCAACATGGAGCGTATCATGAAGGCCCAGGCCCTCCGTGACACCTCCATGTCCTCTTACATGTCTTCCAAGAAGACTTTCGAGATCTCCCCCAAGTCTCCCATCATCAAGGAGCTTAAGAAGAAGGTTGAGGCCGATGGCGAGAACGACCGCACCGTCAAGTCCATCACCCAGCTGCTCTTCGAGACCTCCCTGCTGGTCTCTGGCTTCACCATCGAGGAGCCCGCCAGCTTCTCCGAGCGCATCCACAAGCTCGTCTCTCTCGGTCTGAACATCGACGAGGAGGAGGCCGCTCCCGCCACTGAGGCTGCTGCTCCCGCCGAGGCTACCGGCGAGAGCACCATGGAGGAGGTTGATTAGATGATTTCAGTCAACTTTCGTTATTGCTAATTTTAAGTCTTACGGGAAATGGGAAACGGGATACGACCCTCTGTGATGTTTTTTATCTTTTCATTTTTTTGTGTTCTACAATAAGAACCGACATCTTTCTATATTTTTCTTTTCAGGATGGAGTAGACTGTAGTAAAGTGCCTTTATGTAGTTCAGACCCTCGTAGACTTAAGTAGAACTTACCTCTGAAACATGTATCCTCGATCTCAATAGATGTAATCTCCATGACATGGATCTCAACAACTACCTTTCAATTTACGAGCTTCCGTCTCATTATCATTCATCTCTCCAAAGGCTATCATTCTAGCGGACCACACCTTTTCCTCAAGTCAACACCATACCTCTGTTTGCTATTCAAAAACAGTGATGCGGTTGAGTAGAAAGAAACTTGGCATTTCCAACCCCAACTCTGTTCAATCAAACCAACCCCGTCAACACTGACCTTACATGCCCCCCTAATCCAGGGTCCTGTCTATTACTATTTGTACCTATAATCACCTGATAATCGTATCAATTGGGCGCGTAACTCAGTTGGTAGAGTGTTCGCTTTGCATGCGAAAAGTCCAGCGTTCGAATCGCTGCCCGTCCATTTCATTTTTTTTGTTTTCATTTTTTTATTCAAGGCTCCCAACACTAAAATGGCAGTTTTGCTTAGGACTACTACTTTATGTGCTTTTTTAAGATCAATTACATGGTTTGTAGATTTGTTTGCTTCTGTGGTTTATTGCGGAGTATAACTAATTTCGATTATCTACTAAAGATTCGGCTTCGGCATTCACAACCCCGCTGATATATATATCCCACATGACAACTATATTGTGAATAATTAGGATAAAGCCGTGTCTGAGAAGGAACACACGTCTGTACAGGACAGGGAACAAATAAAAAGACGAGATAGAAGTGGAAAATAACGAGAAGGAAAGGACATAGGGTTGGTTCTATGCAACCAAGGAGAGTATCCATCGTAAAGGGGAGACAATTATCAGACTGCGAGCGAGTACGGACTTCTATCATGTGAGTAAGTCATGTCAATATCTAACCCCTCCCATAATGACCTCTCTGTACACAAACACACACAGTCTCACTATCTCTGCGGCAGCCCCTCTCTTCACATGCATCTCGTACACCAAACCAAAGATCTTTACACCCCTAAGAGGTTGCAACCGGCTTAACATCCCCCGGTCGATAGCCGGGGTCTTCCGCATAGGTTCATGCGGGTATGAAATCGATAGATCCACACCATCCGCTTTTAGGCCACGGAAAACCGACGGCCTTTGGTATAATACTGAAAGTGGCGATAGTGTGTGGGTTGGAGGGTGGTGCTATGAGCTTGGCCTCAGACGAGGAGTAGATGTACGCGCGGCAAAGACATATTCCGATAAAGATAGATTTCATATAGGCGGGGCACCGTTAGACGTAGCCGATTTTATCGTTTACTCTTTCATATAACAACCAACCAGCCAACACCATTAAGAATGGATATCCTAAAAATATCAAAATTATACTGCGTACAATGATTCGCTGTTCGCGACGAACTCATCGGGTGTGGCTTATGTGCAATAGTCGATCCAATGAAAGATCTGCGTTGGTGGAGACTGAAAAATGTTAATATTTGACCGAAATAACTCCCATTGGCTTGGCGCTTCACATCGACCAAGGTCAGTTAGAAAATATCACGTGGAGGTAGACGAAAAATTAGGCAGCGAGAAAGGGGAATAAAATCATTTATTTCCACTTCCAAATGTTTTGGTGAACGGAAAAGCCATGTATAGACCGACCTCGAGAAATGAATGGTGGCTATGTGGCGTGTTATTCACGCAGGCTATCTTGACCATTGCCCTTGAAGTGTACGCTCTCCCAATCTTCGTCCGAGCCACCCTAACAAGAACCCTAGCTATATACTTGTGGAATGGCAGCTATGGGTTACTCCCACCATAACTCAGGTGCCAGTCTCCTACATGATCCCAATCAATCTAGGGATTTTAATCTTCGCTTGTGTCTACGAGTTCATCCTTGCGCTGGACGCGATCCATCACAAGAATAATGTTCTTCTCTTTTCAGTCTGCATCTGCAATATTTGCAGCTTTGTGTACTCTGTTATGCAGTACAAATTGATGGAAACTACCACCGCGGGGCTGTACAGGCAGCGTCATAAGTTTCCGATTCTGGTAGATGTCACTCGCAACGTCTGGCCCCGGATCCAGCCAGCGGAGATCTTAGTGGTCATCGTTGTAGGAGTGTGCACCCTGTTTCTATGCTTGTTTGTATTCTTTCTGCATAGGGAGTATTCATGGGTCATCTACAAGTCTGTTCATGGCAGTTCGAACACACGAATGCGTTATCTGTTCTATGAGGTAGTCTCTACCACCTACGGCTTCACTGCCCATTGAACAATTCTTGAGTATCCACGCTAACAAAAGGCGACCACAGATCTTCCTGGTCTTGATAAAACTCCTCTTTTACTTCCTGTTGGGTTTCATCATTCAATACAACCTGGTGTATATCCACTTTTACGAACCGGAGTATACTCTCACAATGCTCCTCATCCCGGTTGCGTTTATCGTTATGCTACTTGGTATTTGGGTTGTCCAACACGAACGAACCATTGCCGTGGTTGGAATTATTGTGAGTTATCTTACTTCCCCCCTAGAGAACTACTACTAAATTTCTGCAAGATATGCTACCTCGGTCTACTCGCATATCTCATCAGCCGCATCGTCATTCTCTGTGGGGCTCGTACCGCTGGGAAAGACATGATGTTGTTCTTTGCATTTGTATCTGTGGTGCTGACTTCTGGAACGATTTTATGCACTATTATTTGCATCAAAAACTTCGACCGAGGCTTCAAAGTCATCAATCAGTCAAAGAACGGCTATGCACAAGAGTCATATTCCATACCTACCGGGTATTCCCTTGCAGAGCCGCCTCGTTCTTTTTCGCGTCCTTCCTCGCGACTCACGCTTGATTAAGATTACATTTCAAAATTAGCAGATCAATATACCGATGCAACCAAATGCCAAGAGATCCCCACACGTTTTGGCCTCTCATATATTGCGTGAAAAATGTATCGAGATAATGAGGTAACGTGAGTAGAGTCATTTGGCTCGAGTATTGTTATCTGAGTCACCTGGGAGTAAGCCTACTAATACTTAATTTATATTATATTAGTATAAATATATAACTATACTAAATACCTAAGTTATTATATAAAGGCTTCTAAAGCTTATTTTTCTGACTGAGGTTAGAAAATTGATAGTAGTATTAAGTCATTATATATATAATCAAATTACTTAAAAATATAGAGAAAAAATATATAAATAATATAGGTCATAAGGTCAAGAAATTCTGCTTACTAAAAAGGCCCACAGGCGCCTATAACGCCTACGGCCCGTGGGCCCTAAGGGCTGGAGGGCCCACTTCCCGCTTACATAAGGCCAATGGGCAATCCATGCCCACCCGCCCGTCCATGGGCGATGTCGCAGTCTGAGTCTAACTCAGACTGGGTTAGGTTCTGAGTTGAGACCTTTGACCCAAACTGGGTTATACGGAAGTCTAGTTCTATGGTTAGGACTTCAGAATGTAGAGTGAAAGTAAAAGGCATCAATAAAGGATTAATAAAGTAGTATCTATTATATGTAATGTAAAAAATACTGATATGCGAGCTGAGCTGACCTGTGCTAAATTACGTGGCTTTTGGGTCACACCGGTCAGCTCAGCCCGGGGGACAGGGGTCAGATGAACTGTCGTCTCTCTCCTAAGCTGCCCAAGTGCCCAGGTTGCGCGTAAAAGACGAACGCATTTCAGGGGGCCGAAAATCACCTGATTGTCGAATTGAGCCTCGAAGGACCCCCGCTTTCTCGCGCCTGGTGTCTTCACCTACGGAGGACGCATGTTAATCATGGATTCAATATCGTTTGGTGACCAAAACTCGGGGTCTCAGTTTGGGATCAATAACGGGACAGTGAATGTTTTCTCCCGTAAGTTTGTCGAGATGGCTTGCCCAGGGCTTAGCCGGGCTCAGCTGACTCGGAGCCACTTTTAGGGCCAGAAAATACAGATTCCCCACATCGGACGGTGGATAACAGTTCGTCTCGCTCTATGTCTACCAACAGGATTGTCATTGACTATTTTGTTAGAGATACTGGCATCACTGGCATTTCCGCATATGCTAGACCGGAGAGATAACGTCGAGCCATGGCACACGAATACCTGTCAATGGATCTTAGAATTGGAAAAGTTTCAATCTTGGAGGAGTGAACCTCGTGGTCTATTGTGGATAAAGGGCAAACCAGGTGCCGGAAAATCGACATTGATGTTATTTCTACACAAGAAACTTGGGAGTTCACAGAAAGACAACCAGGATGTCCAGCTCGACTTTTTCTTCACCGCCCGAGGCACAGAGATGCAACGTACACCATTTGGCATGTTTCGATCTTTACTGAATCAAATATTCTTGTACGATGCGACCCTCCGGTCTCAGGTACGCGAGGCCTATGAGCACCGATGCAATCTGTTTGGGTGGGAAGAAGGTATTTGGACTTGGCCACAAACGATGCTTGAAGAACTATTTGTAGATACCGTCCTTTCTAGTCGACAACGTGTGACGATTTTCGTCGATGCTCTAGATGAGACTGGAGATGTCTCTGCTCTACAAATTGCATCATTCTTCCATCAACTTCTTGACCGGGCAGAGCGAAAGAACGTTGCTATCCGAATCTGCATCTCATGTCGCCACTATCCTATCATTTGCAGTGCCCAAACCTTGGAGATACATATCGAACACTATAACGGCAAGGATATCGCTACATACATTAGGGATATACTTGCTCAGATAGAGGTCGAAGACAGCCTCAGCGAAGATACGAGACAGGTTCTGATTAAAAGATTAACCCAGCAAGCCAATGGTGTTTTCCAATGGGTTCGTCTTATCATGCCCTTAATGCGACGGAGAATATACGAAGGCGAGACATATGAGGACATTTTTTCCTGGTTACACGAGGTCCCAGACGGCCTAGAAGATGTGTACAGGTATATTTTGAAAGAAGTGATAGACATGCGTAACTTGAAGCAATCTTTTTCGCTGTTCCAATGGCTAAGTGTAGCCGAACGACCACTGGCTTTGAAGGAAATACGGTATGCTTTGGTGGCCGGGGATGCGCAGATAACAGGCGCTCTCAAGCCCATAGAGAAGATTCACGGTTTTGTTGAAAGCGACAAACGCATGAAGCTAAGAATCAATGTGCTTTCGGGTGGATTAGCCGAAGTTGTCTCAGGCAAGGATTCGGCCGAATTCGTACAGGTAGTGCACCAGTCCGTCAACGAATTCTTACGTGCAAAAGGGCTGGCTATGATGAGTAATATGCTCGGAACAAGCAGCCCAGTCCAAAAAAATGAAGAGATTTACTTCCAATCCCACGCAGCTCTCTACCGAACTTGTCTTATCTATTTGATGATTCATTTCCTTCGTGGAGGCTTTCCAAGGGAGCTACACGAGCCGAAGAGTGACCTCATCCGAAACCATCCATTACTTGATTATGCCACCCACAACGTGTTTGTCCATGCAGAAAAGGCTGCTCACTGCCGTGGACTGAGACCGCTTGACGAAGAAGATATTCTATCCAAAGTGGTAACGCATTGGGTACAATTATACCAGTCCCTCGACGTTTTTAACCCATTGTGCCCACCCTCGGGTGCTAGGTTGATTCACATAGCCGCAGCCGCAAATCTCGTTGATATCTTGGAGCGGGTGTCCTTGGACGATAGTGAATGTGCGATGTCTGACAAATTTGGAAATACAGCCTTTCATTTCGCCGCGCGATGCGGCCACATAACGGCGGGAACAATTCTATTGCACAAAGGAAACGACTTCAAGGCAGAAAACAAGCTCAAAATGACTCCGTTGATTGTGGCTGCTAGTTACGGGCACATGGACTTTGTCAAATGGCTCATATGCGAAGGTGTGCATCTTGAAGACACAATGGGTGACGCCCACAGTGCTCTTCAAAATGCTTCCCGCCAGGGGCATCAGAATGTTGTTGAGCTTCTGATTGGAGCCGGGGCCAATGTCAACGCCCAAGGTGGTGAATATGGTAATGCTTTACAGGCTGCTTGTGCAGGGGGAGGCAATAGTGAGATTGTAAAGATACTCCTCGGTGCTGGCGCTGATGTCAACGCCCAAGGTGGTCAACACGGTACTGCCTTGCGAGCTGCTTGTGCAGAGGGGAGCAGCAGTGAGATCGTACAGCTGCTCCTCGACGCTGGTGCCGATGTCAACGTGCAACATGATCAGCACGGCCCTGCCCTGAATGCCTGTGCTAGGAGCGCCCTAGGCAGCAGAAGGCTTGGCGGTTATATCGGCTCCCCGCATATCACGGATCAGGAGATCGTACGGATCCTCCTCAGCGCTGGTGCCGATGTGAACGCTCAGGGTGGTGAATATGGGACTGTCCTCCAAACCTATGCAAACGCGGGGAACTCTCACATTATAAAGATACTTCTCGATGCTGGTGCCGATGTAAACGCCCAGGGTGGCAGATACGGGACTGCCCTACAAGCTGCGGGTAGAGAAACTGGCAAACAAGAGATTGTCCAGATGCTCCTCGAGGCTGGCGCCGATGTCAACATCCAGGCTGGATTTTATGGCACTGCACTGCAAGCCGCCTCTCAAGGAATTGTGAACTGTAAGAGCGTGCGGATGCTCCTCGACGCTGGTGCCGATGTCAACACGAAAGGTGGCTATTATGGTACTGCTCTGCAAGCCGCTTGTGCCAAAAACCATGATGATAAGAATGTTGAGATGCTCCTCGATGCTGGCGCTGATGTCAACGCTCAAGGTGGTCGGTATGGGTTTGCCTTGCAGGGTGCCTGTCGATTCCAGGAAACTAGTAGGATCGCACAGATACTTCTTCGCGCTGGCGCTGATGTGAACGCCCAGGGCGGGGATTACCTAACTGCACTACAGGCTGCCTGTAGAAACAGGCGAGACAATGGGATGGTAAAGATGATCCTCGACGCTGGTGCTGATGTTAATGCTCAGGGTGGGGAATTTGGATCAGCCCTTTTGGCAGCTGTTTTTTGTGGGCATCTTGATCGGATAGAAGTTCTTCTTTGGGCTGGGGCAAATACGTCACTCGTGGATGGACTTGGACAGACTCCTCTACATGTCGCAGCCTCAGAGAATATGCTCACCATTCTTCATCGCTTCCCGGTGTTCCTCTCGTCTATCAATGGACGAGACAAGCTTCTACGCTCCCCGATTCATCTGGCTATTTGCCTGGGTCATATCGACTTCGCCACGCATCTCCTCCAATTTTTCACTGATCCATCTCTTCTAGATGGATATGGTAGAAACATACTGGACTGGGCAGTTGGAAACAAAAGCCTGGTGCGCCAGATTCGAACCCACCACCCCTCAATTGTTACGACGCCTAGAGAAATCCAAGCGCGTGTCGTTCGTCAATCCATTATGGAACTATCAAAAATGCTTCGGACCCAGCCCGATTTCTCATGGCCACTTATACAGCAACTGGGTCGATATCTTCTGTTCGTCAACAACCTAGACGATGCTCGATTTTTACTCCAGCTACATTTGAGCCAGAGAGGTTCTCCCGCGGGTGCTAGCTTCACAATTTACTGTGCCATTTGTAATGATAACGTCGATCAATCTCGCTTTGTCTGCAGAGAATGCGCTCATATGGATCTATGTTCATACTGCGTGGAGAATGAAGAGTTCCACAGTCGATTACACCCAAACCAAGCGCACATCACTTTCGAATTACCTGAGGTCCAAGGAGCAGGGCCTCAGCTCGCGGAGCTGGAATTAGCGACTTATAGGAAAACTCTTGATAGGCTTTCCACGGAGGGGCCATCGAATCATTCGGCGGCCAATCTGTTTTTTCACGTCACGCCACCCACAATGATCGATGTACTTCCAAGGGCACTTTTGGGATCGATTCCGATATTCTGTGTTCTCCTTGTTGGAATTTTAGCAGTTTTGTGGGGGCATTGGATCACCCAGGCTTCGACAATGTACTAGTATAATATCCAAGGGATAAGATAATGACTTGAAATAGATGTGATGTAGATGGCCTGGTCAGGTGAACTTGTCACCTAGATAGTCTCCCGAGGTCTATGTGATGAAACCTTTGGAATTCACGGAATATTGATGTCCATGGGATCATATGCCCAATGAAGGAACAGGCAATGAAAGTTTAAACGATGCTTACTTTATTTTTGCTTTTAAAATCTATAGGCTCGCCTCATACGCGGTAACCGAGAATGATCACTAACGAGGGCAGGTGACGGACTTGACATATATGCCGCTATCTTGCGAGCAGAGTGGTTCAAAAGCTCGGGAGCGTAGGGAAAATGACAGCTTGTAATTTCACCGCCTACATTATAGCTACAACACACCACTTGAGGCCAAAGAGCGTTCCGAAAGCCCGCACTTCAAGTCCGTTGTACCCATTGAATTCACATGGTAGATTTGAGCAAAAGTCGCTTCCAATGCAAGATAGATACCGTAGCAGAGTTGAAATGGGCTTTCCAATTACAACGAGCAGAATGACAACTTCGCTACCTCTAAAGGAGGCATGACGGTGTGAGACTAGGTTATGGAACAAAGAACAGTAGTTTATCCTCTCTATCAACTAAGTGCTTCGTACTTGTCAAGACTCCAATACCATTCAAGACAATACTAGGGATTGCTAAGCGCTGGATTTTGATCTTAAGATATATGTTAAGGATTCCATGCACCATCATTGAATTCGCAGATGAGTTGTTGAACAAAATGTCAATCAAATAAATTGACTGGTTGCGACGCAAACTAATTAGCATCATTAGAACACTATTATATCTTTAAGATCAAGGCCCATTATCCCAGTTTTCTGAACTATTTCCGTTATCGATGCCTCTCATTATGCTGTCAAAGAAAGCCATATCGACACCCTGGAATGCCCAGTCGTGCACCCCGGCAGTTAGCCCAGGATCCTGATAGTTCTGTAGGAGGGTATCGGAAACGGCATCCTGATATCGCGATGTGAGCTGCGCAGGCGGACCATTAACACTATGGACCGAGTTGTAATCCGCTTCGGTCATTGAACTAGGAAATGCATTTTCATCAAAGCGACCAGAGCCAAGATCACGCACTGCAGCTTCAGAGCTCTCAGTGTGATGCATATTGATCACCGGGGCGTAGGGTTGGCCATTATTTAATAGAGGTTGTGCGTTGGCCGTTTCCCTGGAAACGACGCCCTGACGGGCAATCCTGACGATGCCGAAGTAAGGTATTTGCACCCGAACAACGCTGTTGTCGTTTTCGCTTGGCTGAAACACTGCACTTTCTGGTGTCTGAACGCTGACGCTCTCCGTACTGATGCCATCTGCTGTTTCAGAATCGACAGCCAGCAACTTATGCAATAAGTCCGCACTTTGTGCACTTAAGGTATCTCCGTTCACACGGCTGATTTCTTCCATATTCACCTGCGCCTGCTCTATCATGGCACGGTCACCAAGATATTGATGCCCTAAGGGGTTGCTGGCCTGTGAAAAACGGTGGCTGTTCAGATGCGCGAGAAGTAGTGTGATGGCAGCCATGAGTGCAAAAAAGTCGACTGTCCGACAGCAGAAATTGTTCCTGTTGTAGCTACGAAACATGATAAATCGCAAGAGAACTTCCCTGGAGGCATTCACGCAGGTCATTCTGGAATATTCGTACTTCCGTTCAGGTGATGAACGAAGCATGTAAGGCAGATGGAGCTGATTGAGCAAGTTATAATGATACAACTGGTTGAATAACCGTCCCATATCTAGAAAGAGAGCCCGTGGATCATCCGTGACATTGTCTAGGTTCGGCATAAGCCACCATTTGCTAGGCATGGTTCTGCCCGCTTTCTGTAGCTCCAAGTCGAGGTTTTGTGTCAGGGCAAAGTCATCAGCGGAGGGGTCGGATTGGTCAGACTCGTTGCGCTCCAATATGCGAGACGCGAGGGTACAGTGCATCCGCTCGAGGCGACCCATAGGAATGTCATCTCTGAATGCTGTACCAGTGGCCATGCTTTGATCAAAGGAGCCTTGCGTAAGACCCAGCATGAGACACAAATTACGGTCGAGGGAGACAATTCGAAACCACATGAACTGTGGATGAGCTTTCGTTTTGTGGTCAAGAACCTTGTACTTTGCTCGGCTTTGATTTTGGTGGAGGTTCATCATTTGCGCAATAGCCATAGCCCTCCGGTTCGCTATCCAGCTTCGTCGTAGATTTCCACCATCTTGGTAGTACATGCTTTCCATCATAACACACTCCAGTCCTTCAATGCTACCAAAGAACTCGTCGTTTGTCGTGACAAAATTAATAGCAGTTCCTGCTAATCGTTCTATCAGGGCGTGGAGTGATTCCGGCAAACCGTTTATCGCCCCAAGAGAATTAGGGTGAAGATGCTGCAGGAAAGTAGCAAGGTAAAGCATATGTCTTGCGATTAGCACTGGATGCGAACTCGGACTAGGTATTTCGAGTAAACTGTCTGGCGACTTGAGGCCGTTCTGCTCGAGGACAGCATATGGGGTGTTGAGCATCTCATAAAAAAGTATAGCTTTTCTACCGCAGGCATTGCATATCATCTCGATAACTTGTCGTGAGGGCAAGGAGTCGTGCAATCTTTGAGATAGGTTTTCATATCTCCCCTCAGCTTCAGCCGAGCCATGATCCTGATAAAGTAAGTGACAGTTTATTATAAAATGGACTTCAATATATATACGTACATCCGAAGGCTTGCATACAGACAAGAAACGTGAAGATTCTTTGTCTATTGATGCAGCATCTGGAGTAAGGATTCCATAACTAGGCGTCGGAATTTCGCTAGTTGCGGGTACTGCTACTCCCCCATGACGGTCCACTTTCTTGATCAGTTGCTCAACTAAGGCCTCAACCCTGGCAACACGATCTTCATCTTTACCGCTCGTGCGGTGTCGTCCCTTCCTTTCGAGATGTCCTGCATTCTCTCTTTCATCATAAAACTCAAATTCCTGGCTCACGCATTTGGACCCTCGCCGCTGGCAGCCAATGCAGATGGCTTCGGCATCGGCTGGAGAGGGATGGTCCGCATACACGCATTTCATCTTGCGCTTTTTGCATTCCCAGCAACTCTTAGTCCCTTTGCGGATCTTTCTCCGCTTCGCCTCTGATTCGGCAATGGTATCGTAGTCCATATCCATGTCCATGTCCATGCATGAAGTCAGTCAGTCCGTCACGGTGTTTTGGCTGCGGAGGCCGTAAAAGATGATGGAGGTGAACAGAGCAATCGGACCGCCGGGCGGGGGAATCCATGGATGGATGCTTGGGACAGCTGACTCAGCGGATGCTATTCGACCGCCGCGAGATGCAAATGCGGTGGACAAAAGCCCTTTGGTATTTACATTAATATTATTACATCTTACATTTAGCGTGAAATATGAAACAGATAAGGATTCCCATTTGGACATAGTTCGAAGAATGACTGGCAAGTTAGAAATAGCATTGGCGGCTCGGACAATTCGGGGCTAAGGAGGATGATCTCGGGGTATATCCCCAACCGTTAAACTACAAATAGCCGTTTAGCACGTAGCTAATGTACAACATAGTGATCTAGCTCTACTACTTTTTTTTCTAACAAATCTGTTCGCTAGCTTCAAAATGGGTCTTGTCCATATTGTGATGATCTCGTTCAAAGAAGAGGTGACGCCGGAACAGGTAGAAGGCGTAAGTCTTGTTTCTTGCAAGTTAAGTATTTCTTTTGGAAAGCAGATGGTAAATCTTTGAAATTTAGGTAAACCGTCTCTTCCTCGCCCTCAAGGATCAATGTGTACGCGCCGAGTCCGAAACACCATATATCACCAGCCAAATGGCAGGCAAAGACATCAGTGTTGAAAACAAAGCAGTAAGTAACGTATCTATAAGACATAGGGATATCAGGTTCATTTGGGAATTCACAGGGGGGATTCACTCATGTTTATGTTACGCAATTCGACAACGAGGAGGATAGAGATTATTACTTGAGAAAAGATGCGGCACATGCGGAGTTTGGGAAGATTGTGGGACCTTTGTTCGAGTCGGCACAGGTGAATGATTTTGTTCCGGGTGCGTTCTGATACTCCATTATTCAGAAGTAATACGGGAGGTGACAATGTTCATAGTAATTACTACTAGTAGTTACCTAGGTAACTAGTTAGTACCAATTTCATACCGAGTCAGAAACCAGACACTTTAGACACTATACAGACCTATATCATATGTCCCGAGTATGGAGACCCACAATGGCAAATATGTAATGCTCACTTCAATTTTGTGGGTCTTCCTATGTTGTTTGTATACTAGTAAAATCCACAGTGGGGATATGTGAACATTAGTACTTGCGGCGGGGCGTATCCCCGAGTCTTCCCCCGTGCGGCGGTCGAAACGTCCTGGGCCACTGTTTACTTACTCGTTCCTCCGTCCGGGCAAACGTCTGAAAGAAGCTCCGCCCGTAACAGGCTCAAATTGGGCCGACATTTGTAATAATGCTTTTCAAAATTATCAAGCAAGTTCTAAAAAAGTTTGGTATCCATGTGAAACTATTGTCATTTTACTTTAAAAGTTGTCCTGTCGTGTCAGGGACATTATTCCTCTGCAATTATCAACCGTGAACATTCCATTACTTTTAGCCGAAATGGGTTCAACATTCGACTTGGAAAAGGAGCACCAGACTGCAGACTCGAGCGTGCAGTCATCAATAACCAAAACTCCTTCTGCGGCCGATTTAGAGAGCGAGAATCACAATGCTCCAAATGGCCAAGAGACCTCTTACCTACCGGAAAAGGTAGATTCCGAAGAACTGGACGCGGACGACGAATCACAGTATCCTCATGGTATCAAGCTACTCATCATTGTCGCGGCTCTTGGTATGAGCATCTTTTTGGTTGCCCTTGACATGGTATGTCTCACAATCCCTCAGTGAGGAGAGGAGCCTCTCTTCAAAATGCCATCATCTTCTAACGTTAATGTTAAACAAATAGACGATTGTGGCGACGGCTATTCCAAAAATCACCGATCAGTTCCACAGTCTCAATGATGCCAGTTGGTATGGTTCGGCTTTCTTTATGACTACCGGAGGTTTCCAGTCAACCTGGGGAAAGGTGTACAAATTTTTCCCACTGAAAATCTCGTTCCTGCTTGCGGTTTTCATTTTCGAGCTTGGAAGCTTGATTTGTGGTGTGGCTCCAAATTCAGTGGCACTGATTATCGGTCGTGCAATTGCTGGAGTCGGTGCAGCTGGTATTGGGAGTGGAGCCTTCATTATCATCGCTTTCATTGCCAGTCCAAAAAGGCGGCCACTCTTCACCGGTATTATTGGCATGTCTTACGGCATAGCGTCGGTCGTTGGCCCCCTTGTTGGTGGTGCATTCGCCGATAAAGTAACTTGGAGGTGGTGTGAGTACTTCTGCTACTCACCTTGATCAACTAAAGTAGTTGTTCTTGACTGGACTTCGCTGACTCTTTTCGATTTTTCTTTTCATCTAGGCTTCTACATCAATTTGCCCATTGGAGGCCTCGCAGCTGCTTCCATTCTTTTCTTCTTCCATACACCTGTCAGAGCTTCGACAACCCCGGCTACAATCAAGGAGAAGCTCCTGCAGATAGATCCTATCGGAACCATCCTTCTGATCTGTACCATCACTTCATACATCTTGCCACTGCAATTTGGTGGACAGACGAGGGCATGGAACTCAAGTACTGTCATCGGTCTTCTTGTCGGCTTCCCTCTCATGATTATTACCTTCATGGTGTGGGAGTGGTTCCAAGGAGAACGGGCTGCTTTCCCGCCGCGCTTGATGTGGAACCGCCTCATCCTTGTGAATGCGATCTACGCGTTTCTTTTCGCGGGTTCATACTTTATCTTCGTCTATTACCTTCCTTACTACTTCCAGAGTGTTCAAAACGTCAACCCTACTATGTCTGGTGTACGAAACCTTCCTTTGATTGTCTCGATGTCGTTGGCTATCGTTGTCTCTGGTGGCAGCATCACTAAAACTGGTCATACTGCTCCTCTCATGGTTATTGGTGGAGTCCTTGCAACACTCGGCGCGGGACTGTTGTACTCGCTGGACATCGGCACAAGCACAGGCAAGTGGATTGGATATCAAATCATCGGTGGAGTTGGATGGGGATTGGCCTACCAGGTTCCCATAAATGCGGTGCATGGTGCAGTGGGTCCCAGTGATATTGCAACCGTGACGGGAATTATCGTCTGTGAGTATTTTGCCTGTTACTTCTTGATTATCCCATAAAAACCTGCTAACACACCTCGTCTCTCAGTCTTTCAAACTGTCGGAGGTGCAGTTTTCGTCACTGCAGCACAATCTGCCTTTGTTAACCAAATTATCGTCCACATTGACGCAGCCGCATCGGGCATCAACTCATCCTTAGTGGTCGCGACTGGTGCGAGCGAGCTGCGAGACGTCTTTAATACTGAGCAGATGACTGCTATTTTGCCTGCTTACATGACCGGTCTCAAGGTCGCTTACGCCATTTCGATCGCTGCGGCGGGAATCGCTCTCTGCCTCAGCTTCTTCAACAACTTTAAGAAAATTGACGCCCATGCAGCAACCAGTGTGGCTGTGTAATTGTCCCGCTCTTGTCAAGGTCTTTTTACTTTGTGTGGCATACTTAGATCTGTGTTTGAGGTGCCTCAGGTTTGTGTCTGGTGATGGGCTTAGTTGCTCTAGACTTCGCACCTTTTCTTTCTTTTTCCGAACTTACCTGTGTGTAATATGTAATAGAATCTTTGCTTATGTTTTGTATGGACACTCCTTATTCTCAATATTAGCTTCTTAACATCGGCTGAAAAGTATGGTTTTCCCACAGCCTTTTCGGTGGAATGAAAATATTACTAGCACAATATACTACCCCTCTTTTTGTCTAACAACGGCTGAATTATGGTGGAATGCCAAACTATGTTTTCAAGTATTCGAGCATCGCGACGAGATAACATCACACTGTTTCAGGATATTGTACAGATTACAGTACAGTTGTGAATCAAAATAAGTGACAAAGGTATGCTTATTTCAATACATATTGACGCACTCCCGACCATCAGATAAGTACTGCGATATATATCCGTGGAGCTCTGTATACCAATCTCTCTCTCAATGGGATAATATATGGCCTACTTATTTAGCATTCCAGTGGTCTTCTATATACACCTATACGCAGCGCAGCACTCTATCCTAGCCCTCGATGGCAATATTTGATTGAAGTGGTTTGTGGCTACTATAGCGGACAGTTATTGCATGCTATTATTTGATATTGTTACACAACAGGGATGAGCCAGGCTTAGTTTCATGGTAAATGTGATATTGAATTTCAAAGTCATGGAGTGCATATTTGAAGGAAATACATCGGCCAAACAGGTAGAAGGTAGTTAAAAGTTGTTCTACCCATATATAAATAGAGGTGTACATGTACACGATGACATGTATGTCCCCATGGCCTTCCCGTTACCCTCCTACATGACATTGATACCTCCGCTCACTGAGATGAATTGACCGGTAATCCAACGGCTCTTCTCATTGACGAGTAGAAGGACGGCATCAGCAACGTCATCAGTTGTCCCCACACGCTCTTCAGCCCTGGTGAGATTGACAAATGGAGTGATGAATAGATCTTTATGAATTGACGGGTCTGTCACATGTGCAACACCATCGCCAATTATATCAGTATCAACAGGACCGGGTCCAATACTGTTGATGGTGATCCCGCGGCTGCGCCCGAGCTGTATATAATAATCCGGTTAGTGAGATCTATATGAACAATAAAAGGGAGATTTCCTCAGCGGCAATAAACTTACCTCCCAGGCCCATGATGCAGAAAGGTAATCCGTTGCTGCTTTTGTCGCACCGTACACGCCCATACCATCTCCTACACCCATCTTTGACGCACAAGATCCAATATTGACGATCCGACCACCACGAGGCATATTTCCTAAAGTAACAACTGCCTGTGTCATGAAGAGAGTTCCAAACACATTAATACCGAAATGATTCTGGAGATGCTCTGGGGTCATTTCAGTCAGGAAATGGACGCTCCCAACCCCGGCATTGTTCACTATATATCACACATATTAGCAAAAGAGATCATAACTTCTGTGCTTTGTTTTGAGTGCTACATACCTAGGATATCGACATGGTCGACACCAAAAGCCTCCAATGTATCAGACACAATCTTGGAGGCCCCTTCTTGAGTTTCAATGCTACCTCTTATGATAGCCACCCGAGCACCCAGATCACGGATCGATTGAGCAACTTCTTCTGCACGAGAAGTTGATTTCTCAGAAACATAGTTTATGGTGACAGCAGCACCATTGAGAGCAAGCGTCCTAGCAATCTTGCCTCCTATACCATTTTCACGACCGGAACCCGTGATAATAGCAACCTTGCCAGCAAGAGAAAGATTGTCTGGTGCCATTGGATTGGTGGTGGGGGTGGCGCTGAGTTGTTGGGACGGACTAAACGATACTCCACTGGAATCAACAAGGTTCCAAACGATGAGTTTGTACAAGAAAAAAAATGAAGAATGGGATTTACGTTTAAATATAAAGTGTCAATACCAATTACTTTATTAATGGACTAAGTATCACATAATCTCTTGAAATGCCTAAAAGTTCTAACTCAAGTTATTGCACCGAAATGCCTTGATTATGGAAGCTAAGCTCATTGAATTGAATAGTCCGATATGAGTCCTTGGCAGATTGTAGAATCCGAACGGGATATCGGAGTATATCATCACGCAAATAGGTACGTAAATGCTAACTAAAAAATCAAAACACCGAATTTCATGTTGTTCTCATTTCATAAAATCATAAGTTTTTCTGAAATGAGGTATAAAAATAACCCGAGACATCATAAATGGCCGATTTGATCGTCTTCCGAAGCCCGATACCCGATATTAGCAGGTCGAACAGGTGATTGCTGAGGAGTGTTTGTTTACTACTATTTAAATATAACAATGAGTGCATGCTAAATTTGCAGATACCTGATTTGAATTCCAATTCTACTTCTAGACTTCAGCTTAATTTCTAGGTAGGCTACAGGATGGGGGAAACAACTGCACCAGCAGCGCAAAAGTTCTACACGGTGGGTGACAAAGATGAATTTGACCCAGAGAAGTGGAAGTCCAGTACTCCAAATGAGCTGCCAAAGCGTGATCCAGAGACGCATGTCAAAGTGCTGATTGTTGGAGCCGGTTTCGCTGGCCTGATGACAGCGTTGGAGTGCTGGAGAAAAGGGCATAATGTTGTGGGAATTCTAGAGCGGAATCATGGCCCCAATTATAGCGGTTTGTCATGTCCTGAATTTTATGCTCTCCCCTCCCTGATGAGGAAAATGAAAGGCGGAGAGAACAACAGGTTCTAATTGTACCTAATTTATAGGGGATCTCATTATTATCCAGCCCTCAGCGATCGCCGTCTTCCGTCACTGGCCCGACATGCTTCGTGAGCTCGAAGAAGACAAAGTTACAGCCCCGACCTATTACTATAGGCACACCAGTGAGCTCATCTATGGACCTTCAGAACCCAGCTACAATGATCCCGAGCACTTGGAGGAGCGAGAGAACTTCCCATACGTGGGACCTGTACAGATCCGAAAGAAGTTCTACACAATGCTGTTGCGTCAGGTGGCCAAGATAGGCATCAAAGTTGATTATGGGCAACGTGTTGATCAATACTTCGAGGATGAACAGGCTGGGGTGGGCGGAGTTGTGATGGGAGATGGCTCAGTTCGAGTGGCCGATATAGTGGTTGCAGCTGATGCCTTCAAGTCTCGATCCGAACTTCTGATCGCTGGAAAACACATGCCTACCCAGTCAAGCGGTATGTCAGTCTATCGTGTGTCCTTCCCAGCCCACCTTGCCATGCAAGATGAAGAAGTCCGGAAGCGGTGGGAAGGCGTCACGGCAAATGAGTTCTGGCTGGGAGCTGGCATGCATATCGGACTGTACGTATCACCAGATCTGGTGGCCTTCGGAATTACTCCACGAGACGAGTTCTTGGTGGAGGGGAGTGCGAAGGCCAAGGAGTCGTGGGATCCGGACGTCGACCCTGAAGAAGTGATTGAGTTACTCCGTCGCTTGCCTGGCTGGCATCCGGCAGTTGAGGCACTGATACGTGCTACCCCCAGGGGAAGTTTGATCCACTGGCCACTGCTATGGCGCAATCTGCGCCCGGAGTGGACGTCTAGAGGGGGGCGAGTCGTGCAGGTGGGAGACTGCGCTCATTCCACAATTCCAGCATCAGTCAGCGGTGGAACTCTAGCTCTCGAGGACGCAATAACTCTGGCATCAAGCTTACAGGTAGCATCTCACGGGGGGCCCAGTGGTGCGCCTCTTGGAGCGAAAGTTTACAATCTTTTGCGATACCAACGTGTCAGCTGCACGCAAAAGATGGCATTTGTAAACTCACAGCTCCTGAACGCCACTAGTGATTGGGATGCCATCATGAAGGATCGGAAGACGGTGCGCCTGCGCTTTCCCAAGTGGGTATTCAACCATGACCCCGAAGCCTATGTGTATGAGAAATATGGGCAGGCTTTTGCGCATCTTGTCACTGGTGCCAAATTTGAGAATACAAACTTCCCCCCAGGTCATAAGTTTGTACCCTGGACAATTGAAGATGTCTATAAGGATATTGGAGAAGGAAAGAAAATTGAGCAGTTGTTGGATGGAGACTGGTCTTAAGGTTAGTACAACAGATTGAAACAAAAGTACACTATTGACTGATTTTCCAGGGGCCACAAGGAAGTTCCCACAAGAAAGATTGGTATTTGTGAACTGGAGATGCGGGCTGGGGTACTGGTGATGAGCTTGATTTCCTGTCTGGGTTGATTTTGGAGCCTCAGGCCATGGGTTGATTGTCTTGTTTGCTTCGGGTCTGTTGCTGTGCGCCTTATGTTAATCGGGACTAGCTCGGTTGGGAATAGTATCGAAGGGTGAGAGCATAACTCTCATCCTGCTCTCTTCTCTTCCTTCTTCATACAAATTCTGCGCTCATCCGATCCTATGAATGAGCACGTAGTCTTTCCTGGTCAGGAGCTTCGGCTGTGGCCGACAGTTGAACATGGACAAATATAGACTGCAGAGGAGACTTGTCGAGCCAACGTAAACATTTATGGAAAATATTGATAAGATCGATAGGAATATCGATATCTTGATTCAACGTGCGGGTCATATTGAGGATATGCATAATATCGCGAGTGGTGACAACGAACCTCAGAACCCCGAGATCCTACTTTCTTCTGATATTTTCTTTGTTCACATTTTGGACCGGTTTTGACCGGATTTGGTACTCTTTTACTGCGCCTCTTTGTATACTACTATTCTTACTGGCGATAGGTATGAAGGGCCACGGCTAGGGATCTTAGAGGCTCAGAGGATTGGAGGCTTGAAGTGCCCGGGTGTTGAGCACCACCCAGCTGTCAGCGGGACCCCGCATAGCACCTGGGGGGCACCATGCAGTGATGACTAAGGATGCAGTGTGATATCCGTGGACCTATATAAATAGCCTCTAGGCTCCAGGGCTACCCCGCTCGCCACTAAGCAATTCAGACCGTCTTTTCTTTTCCCACTCCATACTTCGTATAAATATAGTTCAAGGTTGCGTGAAATGCGATTAATTTTCCTAGCTACCTCCAAGCCTAATTATCAAACAGGCTGGGGGGTCCAACAGCATGACTGATAAATAGAAATGACACGGACCTCTGAACATTATATAGATACTACAGTGCAGAGAGCGATCGGCCACATACACAACATAAGTGCTAAGCCACGTCTGCTTACTTTTGCTTTTTCCCCTTTTCACCCAACAACAATCACGTCTCAATAAAACTTCCTTTGAGAGCTCTGCGCTTATATGTATTAACAACTTTTCGTTATGCCTGCCAAATTTTCTTCCTTTTCTCGACTTTTCTCGAAGTGGAAACGACGTGCTGCTAGGGAAGAAGCTACGAATATACCTGCGCCGAAAACGAACGAGGACGACGATGGTGCTATCCCGGGTCCTAGTAGTGTTTCAAATATGGTAGCTCTAGCTGAGGGGGAGCTTATTGTGTCTGCATTAGCACCCGGCGATACTCTATCGGTGGCAGCTCCCAGTGCCCACGAGCCTGGGCACACAGAGGCCAAGCGCAACATTTGGAGAGAAGCATTCGAAAAACTACCTAGCAAGCTTCGAGAAGATCTGGAGGTTAGAGGGATGAGAACAGACAATCCCGATCCTCTCAACCTTCAGATCGAAGCATTCCAAAACGAAGCCAAATTACAACAGGCCAGAAGCGAGGAGAGAGATTGGAAAGTCCGCATTGGGCGTCACGAGCTTCAAGTTCGACAATTGACTGTCAGCATTACCAAATGGGCAACGAAGATTGGTGACGTCGCCATCAAGTTTGCACCCTCACCAGGCGCTGGAGTCTGGGCTGTCGTGACGTTTCTGCTCCAGGCATGCTTACACTACCCGCTGGAAAGGTTTAAACGAGGATAAAGCTCTAATTCAATAATTATCTAGGGAGTTGACACCTTTGATACGGAAAAAGTTGCCCTGCTCTCAGTTGTCGATAGAGTGTCAAGCGCCATCTTCCGGGCTGAAGTTTACTATGAAATATACACCCTCGAGAGGACCCAGCGAGCGGACGTCGTGCAGAAGCTCCATGACGCAATGGTTGACCTATATGGTTGTGTTTTGGAGCTTTTGGCTAAGTCATCAGATCTCTCTTCAAGGACTGCGATTCAATTTTGCCACGCCATTTTTGACACGCAAAAGCCATCCGGGATACTGTCACAGCTTGAGGAATATGAACAAGCCCTCCAGACAAATGCCGAATATTGCGAAATAACAGCAAATGCTCATGAAGATGATTCCTTGAAGGAGTATCTTCAAGAAGCACAGCTCTTCCTGAAGAACTTTGAGCAATATATGCTGATTATTGATAATTACGACCGAGAGCAGCTTATGGAATGGGTCTCAAAAGTTCGGTACGGTCGTCACTTTGATGAGATTGAAGAAAAGAGATCTCCTGAAACAGGGAATTGGCTTATCGAGCACACACACTTTCAAGATTGGATCAAGTCGCCTTCATCAAACATATTATGGTTGCAAGGTTATCGTGAGTGTCCATGCCCTCTATATAGAATGCCTACTGTGTATCATGGAAGATTTAATAATTCTTTGTGTATAAAGCCGGCACAGGAAAGACCTTTTTGACCTCAGCAGTGGTGAGACACTTCAAGGACAATATGGAGGCCCAAAAAAACGGTCTAGCCTTCTTCTTCTGCAACCATGCTGAGACCGAACGACGTGAAACTCTTTCAATACTGCAATCCTTAGTACGCCAGCTCGCTGCCCCAAAAAGCAACAACATTGCCGTCAGAAAAAGTCTCCAAGAAGCACGAGGCCGTGCCGTTGCACAAAGCTCTCATCTTGGCTTATCAGAATGCCGAAATCAACTCCTCGAGTCATTGGATTTATATTCAACAACTGTCATCATTGTTGACGCCTTGGACGAAGTTAGTTCGGAGGAGATTCATCACTTGACGAAAGAGCTTGATTACATCATGTCTCAGAGTCGAGACAAAACAGTCAAACTCTTCATATCAAGTCGGCCTGAGGAGGCGATTCGCATAGCGTACAATTTGAGCCCAACCATAACCATCAACGCTTTGGATAACAGAGCCGATATTGAGAAGGTCTTGATTGCAAGACTGGAAACGAGCCAAAATCCAAAAGTCAACGGGAGGAAGGAAGAGATAGCTGAAAGCATCCTTTCCAACTGTGACAATGTGTAAGCATCCCCAAGCTCTACCCACAAACCCTTGGAAATGTCACACATATACTAACGCTTAACCAGCTTCCTGTTGGTTGATCTCCAGATAAAGCAGATACTTAAATGCAAAACGGCCGACGCAATTGACTATGAGCTCAAGAATATTCCCAATGGACTGAGTGAGAGATACGACCGAATTTTTTCCGATATTGAAGCGCATTCCCTGCTCGATGCACAGATGGCAAAGCGGACGCTTCAGTGGGTCATTTCCGCACCTGAACTCCTGACAACCGATGAGATCGTCTGCGCAGCTCGTATGGGAATTGAAAACAACGAGATTGCACTGAAAAGTGACATTTCACCAGAATCCTTGCTGGCAATATGCGAAAACCTGCTTATGGTTGATTCGAAAGGCCAATGGAGATTCTTTCATCTTTCAGTCCGAGATTATCTGAAAGGAAAGCCAAGATTCGAAGACGAAGCACACTCTCACTGTTCGCAGGTTTGCTTTCTTTCTCTCATACAGACTTTCGGATCCTTTGCCACCCTCACGCAGAGTCCATCACCCAGTGATCATAGCTACTCCGATTCAGCTCATAGTATTGTTGATTCAGGGTCTAAAGATCCCCCTGCCAACATACCAGAGCATCCTTTCCATCCAGATCATCCTTGCCATCCAGCTCATCCCTTTTCCAAAAACATACAGATGTCTTGGCCTTTCTATGCGTCACAGTCTAAAAAGGATGACATTTCAATTTCCTCACTCAAATCATTCCTCGGATCAGCCAATAAAAGCAGCATATCTTTCATTCGATGGTCAACCTATATCTTCCGCGCGGAAAGAGACAGATCTGATCGCAGACGCAGACGCAGACGCAGGCGCAGATTGAATCTCAGAAAGGTTGCCGGGGTTCGATTCGGTCTCTCCGAAAAAGTGTATTGCCAAAAATCCGATATATCCCCCACTACAACACCACTCTTCGCTGTAGCGAGATTTGGATTATGTGACATATTTTGTGAAATTTTGCGGGGCAGTGATTTTGACATATCACAACGGAACCGCAGAAAAGAGAGTTTGCTTGTGATAGCTGCGAATGCTGGTTCTCTATCAATCTGCAAAGCTCTCGTTTGCAAAGGAGCCTCCAGTATGCAAAAACCTTTCGATGAGAATGAATGTGCAAGTGCTCTCGCTCTTGCCAGTTCTGCTAAATCATCCGGTGGTCAGCTGGATCTCGTGAGGTATCTTGTGGGGGAGGCCCATGCAGATGTGAACCTCC